CCCCCCCTCCCCCTCCCCCCCCCCAAAAAAAAGTAGTGGTAATTATTAAAATAAGGCTCCTATATTGAACCCTAAACCCTAAGCCGTTGTCAGGAGTTCGGCACCGTTTCAAGCCTGCTGCCAGGGCTTTGGAGCGCTGTGGTTGGAGATTTCCGGGAGCCCAATAGGATGTATGGATTTCTAGGGGTTTTGGGTTTAGGGCCTTTGGGTTTGGAGTGTAGGGCTGTTGGGTTTTAGGGCTTTAGGGTTTTCGGGTTTAGCATGGGGGGTGTTTCGGGCTTAGGGGTTACGGGTTTTGAGTATAGGTATAGGGTTCTAGTTTCAGGGCTTAGGATCTAGGAATTTTGGAGTGCATGGGGGTGTATGGGAGCCCGGAGCCCGGTACCCCTTCATAAAGGAAAACTCTTGAGATTCTAGAGGTGTTAGTTTCGGAATATTTCTAGGAACGACGGATCCGATAGAGTGTTTTCCTTTGCCCAGGTACATGTAAGTCGGATATTGTTGATACTGTTGATGATATAAGTCCTACATTACCTTAAGGACCCTAAACGATTGGAGTTATGGCATGTTCCTTATCATGGGTAATGCAGGGCTTATATCCTAAACCCTGAACCCCCAAAGCCCAAACCCCAAACCCTCAACCCCCGTGTTGAACATAACTTGCGACAAAGCTCTGCAAGACAAGCTCTGAGGACATGCGTGCAGCAAGGCATGTCTGGGAATCGGTTTAGGCATGGCCCCTCCATGTTGTCATCCTCCCTTAAACATTCTAACCCTAAGCCCTAAACCCTAAACTCTAAGTCTTTTCATTTCCTAGCTTCGGGCTTCGGGTGGATCTCGTGCCTTCGGACATCTCAGGGCTGCGGAGCACAAGGCAGCGAGGATTACTTAGGAAGGTTTCCTTCTTCCGGGTTTAGGGTTTAGGGTTTTTTAGGGTTTAGGGTTTAGGGTTCAGGGTTTAGGGTTTAGAGTAAACCCTAAACCCCTAAACCATACACCCTAAACCCTAGTGCCTAATGACAGTCTGCAACCTTGCAGCGACTGACTCTACTTAGGAGCCTTCACATGGCTCTCCTTGTGAGACTGCGTCGTAGGTTCCAAACTTCCGGTCTGGAAACAGAGGCGGCACCTCCAGTAATATAGGGGCCTTAATCATTACCTATACTATTTTGGGGGTTCCTTATTCGAGTTATAGTATAATATACCCCAAGACCCTATTCTAATTATTAAGGCCCCTACTACATTAGGCCAGGCAGCCTGAAATCTAAGCCAAAAACTATCCTGGACTATACCTCTCCCACATGCAGAAAACCGAAGCATCCCAGCAGTGCGCGGCCTGTTTTGACCCGTGACTGCAGCAGCGAGTTTACGGAGGCAGGCTCAGACACACTGAGCTCAATCGACCAATCTGCCGCTCAGCTCATAATACTCTGAGGCTTATTCTCATGATCTGTGGAGGTGCCCGTATGGGTACACGCATTTGTGGAGAGGAAAGAATGGATACAAACGCAGGTTGGGATGCAGACAGAGGTAGATGCTAGAGCCACGAAACAGTCACGGCTTGACACGCAA